TCAGTCCCCCCCTCCCCAGAAGAGCCCCCCTGCCCCCAGCCATGCAGCAGCAGCCCACCCTCACCCAGTGCACAGATCCAGAGAACATGTGCCCCATGGGGCACCCCCTGCCCTGCATGCCCCTTGGATGAGCTGCTTGCAGTTCTGTCCTATATCCTGCCCCGGCTAGGCAGCACCTGTCCCTGCCCCAGCCCCACTCCCTCCCTCACTGTGGGGGCTTCAATCTTCTCCCTCCCACACCCTTTCCCTACCCCCACCCATTCCCCCCCAGACTTAGCAGCTGGATGCTGCTCTCCAAGCTGCCAGGCTGGCTCTGTGATGCTGCGGCTGCGCACATGCATGCAGCGTTTAATCGATGACATTATCAGCCACATCAGCCAAAAAAAGCCAATTGCTGATAACGTCAATTTTCCTTTTAATCGGTGCTGATACAATATGGAATGACGTATCAGTGCACCTCCACTCAGCCTCCTAGTGTGCAAGACAGGGTTGGAGGGGAGGTTATAGAGGCCCCAAACAGCCACTTGCAGGCTGGAACTCTGCCAGCCTGCAAGGGAAAAGCTATGGTTTACCACATTTTTCTCCTTTAAAGGAATATCCATTTTAAAACTTCCTTGATCCATTTTTAAAGTTTTGTTGTAACCCTTTCATATATTCTTGTGACCCATTTTTGGGTTGCAACCCACAGGTTGGGAAACGCTGCTTTAGATCTCTGAGAGTTACAACATCTGAAAATTAATTTCACACAACTACAAATTCAATGTACTTCAGCAGCTGATCAGCCAGTATATGTCACGACAACTGCACATTCCACACCTGGAAAAAGCTATTGTTTCACAGCCCAAGATGATCAAACATTATATTTTAAGATAATGATTATTACTATAAGTAAATTGATTGTTGCTATATCATTACTATTGTTACCAAGTAATGATTATTACTATTGTTCAGATCCAATCCTCCTCTTCTTACTATAGTCAAAGTTTGAAAGGAATTTTTCATTTTTGCAGTTTCTCAGGCTAGTTTCTAGAGGTGCACCGATACGATATGGACCAGTGTATCACCACCAATTAAAGCAAAACTGACATTATCAGCAACTGGCTTTCTTTGGTTGAAGTGGCTGATAATGTTGCTGATAAATGGCACGTGCATGCATGCAGCCACACCATGCATATGGCCAGCCTGGCAGCTTAGCAGCATCTGGCTGGTAAATTTGTTGGGGGGGGGGGGGGGGGGGGA